GGATTGGAGCACCTTGATGCGTGCATGTTTCTTGGTCTAGCGGCACAGTCATATCGACCTAACCCCCACCCTCCAGCGAGTGATATATTTTCTTTGTCATTACAGCATCCGGATGGCGTTTCCTTACAGAGAGACCCCATTACCCTTGGCGGGCCGCGAACCGCATACCTAATTTTCTGCATTGCCCCATTGGTGGACTTGGGAGCATCAAAAAGATTTGTGTTGTCGGCAAAGGGCAGATTGTAAATCTTTTAGCTACTTACACTACCACCCTATCCAAAAAGAAGATATCCAACCCCTATTCGTGTTCATGCGTGTCAATGACGGTGTGTGTGCATCCAACCATTGGGCGAACGGAGCCGCTCGTGGCGCGTAAGCCCTCGTGTCTCGGCTGGTTTCATCCACGACCGTGTCCGGTGGCCGCGGTTATACTGATTCATTCGATGTGAAGATGACGCATAAGCATCGTCACCATCAACCGGTCTAGGCTGCCGCTAATGGATTCGTGGGGGTATCAGTGTTATGCAACGCAGTGGTTGAGGATCGAATACGGAAAAGGCAAGTCCTCCGCTTCGGAGATGTCAGGCGAAGGAAAGGAATGACGATGCTTCAGCGACTGTGTGACACAAGAAAGCGGGGCTTTGGAATATAAATTCCACCCCGTCTCCCCATCATCAACTCTCACACCCTTGCGCACCCCGACCAAGGAACCCTCCGACCGTCAGCAAACACTGCCAGAAAAACATCACCATCTGCGTAAGTCGACTCCCTTGGCCCCCTCGCCACATTATCAATCATTGACGCCGCCGCCAGCAACAACAACAACCTCAGCGGGACATATATCAACCCGCGTCCCCACAAACCGCCCACGTCCCAGAAACCGCTCCCGTCATGGTCTGGTCCTGCTGCCGGTGCACCAAAGCCAACGGAAACTCGGTCAAGATCTGCGTCTACAAATGGTGCGGCCACGCCCGCTGCACGCACGGCTGCGTCCCCGCCCCGCTGTCTTCCGCCTCGTCCAAGAGCCATCCCACACACGGTACGTACGTTCCCTCCCCTCCGCGTCCGAGTCCTGCCCTCGCCGGGAAACCGCACAGGTCCGGGCGAGCCGCGCGCTCTCCGTTGAACCGGAGGGGCCCTCGACCTCCGGACCCTGCCCCGGTTCCCGCCGCCCCGTGGGGAAGTTGTGCTGACGCGTCGGCGTCTGCGTAGCTGAGCGTGTCGGTGGCGGCGTGTCCGATCGGGCGAGCGAACGAATGTCCCGATGGCCGGGTCGTCTTGGACGGGTGCCGGGGCCCCTCCCCGGAGCGTCGAGCGTGCGTGAAGGTTTGCGTGGAAGGGAGTGAGGAGCGCATTCACTAGGGGTCCGGTGGTTCCTGTGGGGGGGTCGTTGTCGCGTGGGCGCGGCTGGGGGGCCGGAAGTGGGGGGGCGGAACTCTGAGGTTGGATGGGAGATGCTCATTTTATGAGGGAGGGAGTCCCTCGTCGACTGGGTTGGGGGGGGGGGCTGCAAGGTCTGTGTTCGCAGGGTAGATGCTTGTCTCTGTGGCTGAGACTGTTCGTCAATTCGCGTTTTCCTGCCTATCTGAGGTTTCCAGAGAGGTGATGCCATGGTGGTCTCAATCCCCTTTCTGCCATTCTTTTCATCGTCCACAGCTATTCCACGGATCGGTGTTGGGTAACGAGTCGCCTCGAGTATCTTGCATTCCATGCCGTGTTTGAACGACTCCTTTTTGGTTCTCTCAACCAACACGACTCTCCGGATAAGCACCGAAGGATTACCGAGTAGGTAGACACGAGCGGAAATTCACAAGAGGGTCGTACTAGTACAACACTACTTTAGACAGCGGGGCCACGGACCTTTTCGACGACCAACAGGCCCTCTACCTTACTTATTCAACAACGTTTTTCGGCACGTATCGCCAAACGACCAGACACGGCCAGAACCATCCCCCGGACAGATCCGACGTCCTCCTCCCCATCACCGCCGCCGCCGCTCACGCAATGGAAAAAAAGGCAAGCCCGCGCTCTCCGCCGCAACTCGAGAACCCCTCCCCGTACTAGTACGTCCCACCCAACGGTGCTAATTAATCCCCCACTCCCACACTCCGCCCCGGCGTGGATCGACCAGGCGATCGACCCCCGCAGCGGGCAACCGCACCGTCGACGTGACCCTCCGACCACGACTCCAAACGCCGGCCCTCGACCTCTCGCACCGACGGTGAGCGGACCACGGCGTCTCCCACACACATCTGGCGCTGCCGCTCATGGACATTTTGCATTGATCACCAATGCTACTGGGTGTGGTGGAGGCGAGGTCGGTGGCGTTGTGTGCGAGCGGGGTTGCACGTGGTTGGCGATGACGGAGCCGGGGTTCGCACCGCGGGATGCGGCCACCGGCGCGAGGGATGACGTATCGTTATCTTCTTCTTCTTCTTCTTCTCCTCCTTTTTCTCCTCCTCCTCAGCGTGTGGACGGCCGGGGACGCGGCGCGGCGGCGGTGCGGCTCCCGAGTCCGCCGAGCGAAAAGACGCGAGGGTGTCGGCGTGGCCCAACTGAAGGTCACCCCCTTTTTCGAACAGACTCGGTGCCGGATCCGCCCGCTACTGTGCCAAAGATGGCAAGCCGCGGAGTCTCTGCCGCGGCGTGCCGTGCGGGAAGGCTTACCGGTGGCCACGTTCGGAGGTGTTTGTTGCGTGCGGCGGTGGCGGGATCTGTGAGTGGGGAAGCCTGGGGGGGGGGACGGGAGGGAAAAGGCACGGGTTGGGTATCGCGGACGCTGGAGACGGGCGTGCTTTTGGTGGGTCTGAGTCGGGACGGAGGGGGTGTGATCGGGTGGAGACGCAGTGCCGTGCCCGTTGGAGTCATGTCGGGGCGTATCGGTCCGCTCCGATCACAACCCGACCATCATCGTCGCCGACCATTCCTTTCCTTCTTTCCTCCGTGTTTGAAGCTCTCGCCAACCATCCACACTCGTGCGATTATACCTCTTTCGTATCCCAGTGTTGCTACTGGAACGCGGCGATGTTACGACCCGCTCCCGATATTGAATCATCGGTGTAGGTGTATGTTGGCGTCGACGCTATGGCTGATCTATCCGGACGGACTAGCGTAGGCACGCTTTCGGTTTGTATGGTATTCGCGTTGTTGTTTTAAAGGTCCTGGTCGGTTGTTGTGTCCGATGATACCGTTGCGACGGGGGTGGGGATAAGACCTGACACGATGCCGGTCTATGTGATGGACGGTGACAAAGTCGGCCGTGGTGAGGTCAGTCGTCTGTATACTACTCACTCCCGAATCACGAGGCCAAGTCGGATGCCCTCTCTGCCTTCAATGGCACTTGTCCCCAGCCTGCTATATGCGCGAATACCATAGGCTTCCCCAACCATTCACGCTGTCTCTATATCAGTCCCGTTGAGGTTGATGCGCAGTAGTTTTTGGGATCCTCCCCCTCCCGCATCACGAGGCCGGTCGGATGCTACTCCGGCTCGAATGGCTCCGGTCCGTCTTTACGCAATCGAGGACACGACTTCGGCGGTAGGGTGGTATCACCGCGGTCGAAGGACGGGCGTGGACTCGCTGGGATATGTCCGACGTCGGTGCTCTGGCTCGGTATGGGGTCTTTGACGGCACGGCTCCTCTCTTTTTCTCTCTCTACGATACTGCAGACGGATTGGGCTCTCATGCGGATACGTGGATGTGAAGGGTATATCTCTCGTCGTCTCCTTCTTACTTCCTTTCTTCCTTTCCTTCCTTCTTTACGTCCTTACTTCCATACCACAGCACTCTACCTCGCTCACTCACTCACAAAGCAATTCTTCTCCTTCTCCTTCTTCCCCTTCCTCCAAAACACATACACACGCCCTCGACAAGCCACCGCTCTAGCAATTTTCTTCTTCTTCTTCCTCCTCCAAAATATTACTTCCCCCCCCCCCACACTACCACCGACCCCATCACCCACCACACCCATGACGAACAAACGCCTTTTTCCACTTCCACTTCCGCCCCACGGCCCCGAGGCCGATCGACCGCCAACCGACATCGCCGCTGCGCTGGCACACATCGACGCGGGGTTTCGCTCGCGACCATAAGGCCTTATATATCCCCCCAACACAAAGATTTCTCGGAGTCTGGTCCGTCAACCCATCCCATCCCAACTCCTCCCATCCATCCATCAATCCCTCCATTCATTCTCCCCCTCGCCCAAACCATCCCCTCACTCCTGACGAACCTCACCCACCATACAACCATCCACCATACAACCATCCATCATCACCATCCATCATGCCCAACACCACCCTACCCATCTTCCCCATCTTCCCCATCTTCCCCCCCCCGTGGCTGCTCCTCCAACCAACCAACCAACCACCCGGTCGAACCGTCCCGTCGCCGAACGCCGGGCCCATCCCCCACTTCCCGGTCGGATCTGCCCCCCCACCCCCTGCGACGGCTTCGGGGGTTTGGGGTTCGCGCACGCTGTGGGTACGTGGATGGGTGTCGGGGACGGTTCGAGCGTGGGTTGGAATTGGGTTGGATTGGTGGGGGTGGTGGTAAGTTGTTGTGGTGTGGTGTGGTGGGGTCGGTTGGGGCGAGGGATGGGATGGGATGGGATGGGATGCAGTGGGGTCTTGCCGGAGTTGGGGGGTTCTTTGGGGGACTGTGGGCTTGAGCGGGTGGGTTTTTGGTCGGGGGCGAGCGGGTGAGGATGTAGGGGGAGTGGTTAGCCGGTGGGATATTTTGGCCGTTGAGTCTGAAGTGCTTTTTTCTTTTCTCATTTTGAATTTCAGATGTCTATATCTTGACTTGACTTGACTTGACTTATAAGGGAGGACGGCCGCGGTCTGTGCTTCTTGCTGCTTGGGAAATAATTTTTTCTACCGGGTTTTCTGAACCTATATTTCATCGAGTATGACAGCTCAATGCACCTTGCGAACAGGCTTAGACATCGGAAGCAACCTGCATCCGTATAATCGCAAACATCTACCTACGACAGCGGGCATTTAAACATAGATAGGCTGCGGGACGCCATAGTTCAATGGATCGTTAAACCTCAACCCCTTATCCAACCCACTAATGCTCTCCACCTCACTCTTCTCGAGATTCCAACCCGTGACATCCAGATTCTGCGCCAGACGTCCCTGGTTGTTGCTCTTCGGGATGACCGCCACGTCTCTCTGCGTCGCCCAACGCAATAGTACCTGCGCGGGCGTCTTGCCATGCTTCTCGGCGGTCTTCTTGACCGTTGCGTTATCCATGAGTAGAGGCGTGTCTTTGGCGCGCTGCATGTCGAGTTCGAGGAAGGATTGGGGACCGAAGGATGAGTAGGCTGTGATGGCTATGCCTTGGCTTTGGGCAAATTTGACGAGGCCTTCTTGGGTGAGGTAGGGGTGATGTTCGATTTGGAGGGTCGCGGGAGGGATCTTGGCGTAGCGGAGGAGATCCATGAGGAGCTGGCCGTTAAAGTTGCTGATGCCGATGGATTTGGCCATACCCTTGCTCACAAGCTTCTCCATGGCCGTCCAAGTCTCTTGGATGGTAGCGTTACCGGGAACGACGTTCTTGCCATCGTAGGTGAAGCCGGGAGGGTAGCGCTCGGAAGGATCGACGTATTTAAGGGAGATGGGGAAATGGACGATGTAGAGATCGAAGTAGTCGATACCCCAGTCTTCGAGTTGCTTTTTGCAGATGGGCTCGACGCGGTCGTGGTCGTGGAAGGAGTTCCAAAGCTTGGAGACGAGGAAGAGGTCGGAGCGTTTGACTATGCCTTCTTTGATGGCGCGGGCGACACCTTGGCCGGATTCTTGTTCGTTGCCGTAGTCTGGGAGTAATTAGGATGCGAGTGCGAGAGGATCGCTGGATAGGCTTGTGGGAAAACGAGTCGTCGGAGACCTACCACATGCACCGTCAAAGAGACGGTAGCCAGACTTGATGGCGTTATAGACAGTATCGGCACAGGTGTCATTGTTGACTTTCCAAAGTCTGGGCAGACGATGAGCATGCTTTCTGAAACGACATGAGATGGCCCACTCACCCAAAGCCAACGAGGGGCATCTGGTGGCCGCTGTTGAGCTTGACGGTAGGAGAAGTCATGCTGGCGTATGATCTAAATGCAAGTCTTTGAAGACGGACTGATGAGTTGAACTTATAAGTAATGGGCAATGGTTGCTTGAAGAGAATTGAGGTGGTTCTACTAGATTTGTCAGATGCACTCCTTGTGTATAAAGCTGCAGGGCAAGTGTAAGTAAATACCGAGTGAAGGGATTGATAATGTTCATCTGCTCGTCAAATCAAAGAAGAAAACTCAAATGGAGAGAAAGAAAAAGGGCGGTTGCCCCACATGAACCCCACACAATTGGCATTACGTCGGCGAGATGTAGGCACGCTTGTAACTTCCGAAATTAGTCTTATAACTTTTAGGCAAAACGGGACGGAGAGCGCCTAAATGGATAAATCAAGTGATCAACATATACAGGAAATAAAATGGCATTTGCTTCCGGCAACGCAAAAACAGATGCAGCTTGGAAGCGCATGTTATGAATCGCATGGTAAAGGCTGGTGTTGGCTCTCATTGGTCAAATGCAACAGAAACAAATAGGGGTCAGTAACAACAACGATTGGATAACAGTGCCCTGCCTGTTGTCCGAGATGCAACGCCGTCAACCCTAATCCATGCGATGCAGAATTGTTTGCGTAGCTATCAAGTTACTCGTACATAAGCTGTCGAGTCGTCAGCACTTGTCCTTGGAGAGATGTGGAGACGAGCAGGAATCGTCTTCACGTACTTGCATCAATCTGCTGAATCTGTGGTAACGCCAGTCGGATCTTGTTTCTATACAAAGCCGGGCTCTTCAACTGTAGAGGGTTCATCTCGAAGTAGACCGTATTCAATTCCTTCTTGTCTGCCAATTCCCTTTCCACTTCTTCAAACGATATGATTAGATTCGAGGAAGCCCACAACTCTTCTAAGTGCTTTTGATTCTCCAAATTCGTGAGATGAGTGATTTGATTGTTCGAGATGTCGAGGACTCGGAGGTTGGTGTTTCCCTCCAGACCAGAGATTTCAGTCAAGGCATTGTGGGAGATGTAGAGCTCTTCCAGGTTGATAAGGGCGGAAAGGCCAGACATTGTGGGTAGGCGATTCGACTGTATGGAGAGTATCTTGAGGTTGCTGAGATGGGATATGTTCTGCCATGGTATGAAAGAAGAAACACGCATATCCAACGAAGGCACCTTACCTTGAGTTCTGTGATCTTGTTCTTCCCCAACCAAAGCTCTTCCAAACCCGTCAACGTATCCAGGTTCTCCATCTCCTGTGCCACAATCAACTTTGGTAACCCTAAACTTCTGGCAGCTCCCCTACCCTAATTCGATTCGCAGCCAATTCCAAATTCCTCAACTTGGCCAACCCATCAAGTCCCTCAATCTTCTGTATCTTGTTCTGCACAAAGTAGATGTCCTTGAGCTCTTTGAGATGATCCACATTCTTGATATGCTTGATCTTGTTGAAGCTTAGGTCTAAGCTTGTAAGGTGTACAAGGCTTTCTAAGCCTTTTATGTGTGATATCACGTTGTCGTAGAGGTCTATTTCGTGCAGTGTCGGGCCCAGGTTTGGTGGCAGTTCGATGTACGAGATCTGGTTCTGGCGGAGGCATAATTTCTGTCGGGCCTTAGCTTCTTACTGCCTCTTTTGTACCACATTGGCTGCCGGTCAGGTCGTACCTCGACTTTGTTGAAGCGTTCAAGATGGAGAGCCTCGATTGCGGAGACGCGGCAGTGAACGAGGTCGATGTCCTTGGTACAGTAGTATGTCAGCGCGTATAAGAAGACAATGACAAAAAGCAGCATTAGCATACATCAGCATCGGGCTCATAGTCTTCGAGCAAGTCTACCGCAAACTCCAGTCAGCAGAAACGCAGAGTGAACAGAGACTTATTTACCCTCGTCTGCGACGATCTGCTCTACTGGAGGAGCATCCTCGTCTGAGTATTCTGGATCTGAAAGAATCTCCGCATTGGTAATTACAGCTCTTCGATCCACTCGAAGCTTGCCATCCCAACCCTTACTGTCTTGAAGGGTTGTACCGTTAGTGAGGGACGGGGGATCTGTGGGTGCGTTTGGAGAAGTGTCCATCTTTGGTAGATGGACGAGGTTCAGCAGTAAAACAAAAAGGCAAGCGAGCTGTTGTGTTGCGAAGCTTTGCTACGTGAAATAAAGTTGAACCCAACACTATTGGTTCGCGGAGACTTCTTTGAACGCTCCAGGGTTCTTCTCAATTTGTCCGCAGGGAGTTAAGATGGGCGGGACGCTGTTTGTATGTCCAATGCACCACCTCGAAGTCATTCCCAAGATCACCGGACTGGGCAATCAATTGAGTGTAAGGGTAAGTGTAGTGTAGAGTAGCCCATCAAGGTACGTGCGGTGCAACATCCACCCTTCCAAAAATCCAATCCGGCTTCCCACGCTAAAAGCGGCTGCCTCTGTGCTTAGTAGTGCTGCTGTTGCGTTGGAACTCCGGTGCCAGCGCAGATTTCTGTTTCTATTAGATGCCAAGGCAAATGGCAAACCAACACGTAGAATAACAGCAATGGACTATTCCTCAAACTCGAGAGCGCATTGTCTTTTAAGCTAATTCGAAATCTAGACATCGGTGTTGGGGTATCTAGTATACAATAGTATTACAGGTCTTCTCCCGCTTTTCCCATTCTAGCCGGTGACTTTTGTAGATGATACCAGCTCTCCCACTGTAGCCATGTGTGCAGTGCCACTTCATCCATCGCGTAGTGTCGCATGCTCCAGTGGATTTACACAGACCACACCGCTCAGTGGGCCCTCATGCCAAGATGACCTGCCCCCCAGGAACGCCAGCCTGCCTACGATGAGAATTTTCGAGTGACCTTGGCGATAACTGTGATCGGAGTGTTAGCACAATTCCGATCAAGCGATAAGCTTTTGTATGCGACCAAAGCACAATGGGAGGATTGTACATACTATGTAAGGCGACAACGCTGAAGATGAACCCCAGGGAGAGCACAAGCACTACTACCGGGTCCACCTTGAGTCCAGGGGACTCATCGGTGTATAATCCTAGATTAGAGATATAATTCATCAGCTCTCATATTCCAATGGGCCCAATCCCGCAACAACAATCAATGCACATGGCTAGAAAGGTCTTTCACTCCACATCGTGATGACCTTCAACTTCGCCACAAGTAGATCGTCCTACGTGCGAGCATCCTCACACCCTCCATAACTACACAGCGTGAGGCATAAACATACGTAGCATAGTACTGGAGCTTCCTCCAGCCCCTGCCGCCCTTGTGCTCGTCGGCCTCGCATTCGCAACTTTATCGGCTCTGTCCGCCGCCGCTTTTCTTCTTATGGCAGTCTTAGGTCCGCCAGGTGGTGATAAATTTCGTCCGCTGCTCACGCCTGCGGAAGCTGGGGGAGAGGTGGGAGAGGATGGGCGTGGTGAAGACTAAAGGAGTATTAGTCATGACTCTTGCAGATGAACGATGACTCTCTAAAACACATAGGAGCATCCGGTAGTCACGTCAACAGAGTACGGAGCAGAAGATTAGGCAAGAAGATACAAATAATTGGAGCAATCTGAAATGCATTGGTTGAGAGGGTTAGGATGCCGGCGCGAGCTGTAGACATACCATTATGAAAAGGTGGAGAGCCGGTCCACTTCGGGATTAATCGCTGCAAGTGTATGAGTGTTACCTAGACGAGTATCGCCAGTCGAAGGGTGGTGCAGTGATTGTGATTCAATGAAGATTGGTGAAAATCATGCAGAAGTTGAAAAGGACAGCGATTTCGTTGATTTCGCAGGAGGCGCTAACGTAGTGCAGGTTGTAAGGCTGAAATCTGGGGAGAAGAAGCGCCAAGAAGACAGAAATCTGCCCCCTTCTAGAATTGGTGTATAAACTGGAAAAGTCTTCTACTCAGATCAATCAAAGCCATAACACAACAATACAATATACCCACCCCAACTCGCGGCGCGCGAGCTCCTACTTCTTGGAAAGATTGGAGTAGATTCTGTCCTCTTCAGCTGCCAGGATTACAGTGACTTCACCAGACTTCACACACAGCGTTGTTTTGGCCAAGGCTGCAGACTTTGGCTCAGCCAGGGCAGCCATTCTTCCTCCGCAGGCCAATCTCACTGTATCATTCCCTTTCCCAGTGCTTTCTACATTTTCCCCCCCTTTAAAAGGAAAAAAAAAAAAATAAAATTTAAAAAAATTTTTGGGGTTTTTGGGTTTTTTTTTTTTTTTTTTTTTTTTTTTTTTTTTTTAAAAAATTTTAAAAAAAAAAAAAACCCCCCTTAAAAAAAAACCCTCTTTTCAAAAAAAAAAAAAAAAAAAAAAAAAAAAAAAAAAAAAAAAAAAAAAAAAAAAAAAAAAAACCCCCCCCCCCAAAAAAAAAAAAAAAAAAAAAAAAAAAAAAAAAAAAAAAAAAAAAATTTTTTTTTTTTTTTTTCAAAAAAAAAAAAAAAAAAAAAAAAAAAAAAAAAAAAAAAAAAAAAAAACCCCAAAAAAAAAACCCCAAAAAAAAAAAAAAAAAAAAAAAAAAAAAAAAAAAAAAAAAAAAAAAAAAAAAAAAAAAAAAAAAAAAAAAAAAAAAAAAAAAAAAAAAAAAAAAAAAAAAAAAAAAAAAAAAAAAAAAAAAAAAAAAAAAAAAAAAAAAAAAAAAAAAAATTTTAAAAAAAAAAAAAATAATTTTTTTTTTAGGTTCATTGGGGGAGCGACGAGGGAGGCGCCGACGGGTCATGGGACTCTTCACTTCAATCCTGAGTGGGACTTCCTTCATGTCAGCGCAGAATGGCCAGCGAAAGATACTCTGGTTGATTTCCTGTATCATCTGAAGACCATCCATGATCCCCGCCATGTCGGCCTCCTCAATCTAGCAGTGGATGGAAATGGCCTGAACGGGAACGATCTCTACTGATTGCAGTCTTCAGATCTTGACTCTGAAGTCAGGTCAGCTTTTTTAAGAGACTCTCACACAGCTACGTGAGGTCTGGTTTGTCTCGACTCCTCGAGTTGGGCGTCAGATTCTTGGTGTGTTGAGCGGACTAGGAACTTCCGAGACGATGTTTAATCGCTCTCTCCCGATCATGACGATGCCACTAACTTTCGAGCGTTTGCATCGCGATCCACGGCCCATAACCCAAGACTTGAAAAAATCAGCATGCCTGGCTGATTCGCGAGACGTGGTTCAACCCTGGCTACAGCTGCTAAAGAAATGGCGCACTTCTCCACCCGGAATCGGGTATCGGTTTCTTCTAGTCTTCGACCCGACCATGGGAGGAGACCAATTTTCTGATCGCACGAGCGCAAAGACATGGTTGCAGAAAGAGGATGATCAGTGGAACGGACGTGCCCCAGATGACGGCTTCCTCAAGAACAACGAAGTGAAATGGCCGGTTGGCGCCGAGGATGAGAAATATAGGAACGAGGATCTGGAACAGGCTGTGAGGCCTGCTTTCGGTTTCTGGCTGTTTCCTGTAGAGGCGCTTGGTCCAATTGATGGAAAAGGGCTCTTAGAGGACGAACGGTCTCGACCTAGGGGAAAAACGTTTTTGAACATGACAGAGCACTGGCCTGAACTTGCGTTGTCAAGCTTGCCTTAGCGGCCTTGCACAGCAATAGACTTTCACGAATTTATAACAATTCTCATCTCCTTGATAATCTCAGCGATGCTAAGCTAAGCAGACATGCTGTTCGGTACTATGAGATGACGAGATAAGGGGCCACAGTGGCCTGCAGGTCGAGAATAGTCAAATAAGAGCACTGTTCCAAGGCCTGACAACTTCAGGATGATTCAAAGTGTCAACAAGGTACTCACCAAAGCTGCGTTGAAATTCTTGGCACAAGGGTTTCGGCTGAGAAGATTGGCCTACTTCTATCAACCCAATCGAAAACAAGTCAGCACTTTGGAGCGACCAATGCATATTACCCAATGTTTATACACAATAGTATCAAGTAGGGCAGTGCGATTTACTTTTCCCTGTCTTTGTTCTTCGCTAAGAGTCCGGGTATTCAAGAATCGTCTTGAGATTGCTAAACTACATGTACGTGAGCTGAACTTCCGTCCCTGCCAAGAGATGCTGAGAAGCCGCCGCTCCGCGTCGTCCAACATACCCATATACGAAACATGAAACACTGGCTGGGCACCTGGTTGGATACTGACGGTATCACAGCATACGATGGTTCAATGCCAGTGCGTACGCGTGCTCGGCCTATGTGCTGGGTTGCATACATGCCAAACCGGGTGCAAAATCCCTCTGTTCAACCCGCACCCTAAAAGCGGCATCCTCGGGTGAGCATTGTACTGAGCTGAGGGCAGGTTTACGTCTCCGTTAGCGGCCACGACTTCAATGTCGTTCCTAGAATCTTTGGCGCAGTGCGTTACCGGAAGGAGGACACTCTTCAGGTTTAGCATGGGCATGAGGCCGGATGATCATACGACCGAGCCACCGCATTCCGAAATACCTAATTTCGCTCACTGAGTTGGTGGTATGAATATGGAGTAAACTTTGATTTGATTTGCATTTATCAGTGGCTATGATCAAGCTATCGATGCTATTTATGCCTGCTAACGAAGCGACACATCCATCTCAACGTCTTCTGGTGCAGCATTTGTTTTCCCACTAGGCCTGACCATCTCCTCCACCTTCTGACCTTCATCTAAGCAAACGTGGCAGGTCGGTGAGCGGCGAACAGAGCCTTGCTGGTGGCCTTGGGCACACGGTGAGGAAGAGGGAATTTGAGGTTCTTGGAGAGCAATTGTTTGATGTAAGGGCGCTTCACATCGTCGGTCTTCTCAAGCTCGACGACTTTGAGGATCTGTGTTCCCCAGCATATTAGTACGCTGAAGAGGTGCTTTGGGAGAGGAGTGCTGCCATACATGGATTGACCTAAAGCGAGCTCTGTGTCTTGCGGCCATGTCTTGGTAGAGTGCATCCACTGCCTCTGTCCTCGACATCTCCCGATATTCCTTGTACATGTTGTGGGTACCTGAGCGCGAGTCGTAGCGGATCCAGATGCCAAAATTCTTGACCTTCGTAGGGCGTCGTTCGTGTATCTAATCATATCCACCTTCATCAGCTCATGCTCTGCTAATTCTCGCAACCCTCCGCTATCGCTTTCTCCTCGGCATTGAACTGCTGCAGGGTCCATACCAGGTTGATGGTGATGATCTCGCCATTTGACTTCTTGACCTTCCTCAATTTCATCAAAAAGTACCAGAACCTCGATTTAGCGACGACTGTGTTTGGTGCGAATATTCTCATGCGATAGAGCTTTGGCGTTGCATTTGTATCTGTTGGCAGATGACGCCCGATGACTTGGTATTCGTTGAGGCGCCCTGAACCCCACTCAATTAGCACCCAGATCGCACAAGACCTCAACAAGTCCTCAAGTGCATTGTTCGCACTCCCCGCATCTTGAGTTCGGTAGCCGTTTCCGTGGCAGCGCCTTGTAACTATAGGATACACGTTTTTGGATTCTCGTTGAAAATAAGGCTTCTCTTTCCCGGCACCTTCGTACCGCCGAAGGTGCATGCTATGTCCCAGGTGATCTGGAGGAGGCCGAGGGAGAGCGGAGTTTCAGGGCGGAGCATGAGGGATTGAGAGGAAGCTTACCCATCTGCCTTCGTCAGTAGGGAGATCCAAAAGGCATATAGACTCTACTCACTGTGATCGTTCTAGCGAGGGACTCTGAAAAGTTGTCAATGTCGGAGGTGATTTTCGTAGCTGGTGGTGATTTCGGTGCGCTTGGATTTAGCGAGGCGCGCTAATTTCAGCCCTATCAGTCCGAGGTCTACCACTCGCGGTTTGGCATTCCTCCTCTACAAACTCATCACACGCATAACGTCGGTTCGGTACTCTTTCACTCGCTTGATGGTTCACAAGAAGTTATGTTATGATCGTGGCCCCACAAGACCGGGTTAAAAGAGACCGCCATGGAGGTCTTATGTAGGGAATACTGGCACGCCAATCAAGAAGGATCAGGCCCACTGCTAGCAGCTACGATTTCTCCCATTGCACCTCCAAATTATCTGAACCGCCTCGACGCAATCTATGGTGACACTAATGCTGCCTCGATCAGCAGAGACATCAGTTACAGCCTCACGAAAACCGCCAATGCAGCGATCCAGTACCCAAATCCGGAAATAAACAGTTGGACCGAGATTTACTCAGCATACTGGTATGCCATTGGAGCGATACTTGCGGCAGAGCACCCAACAACGAAGCCCGACTGGACGAAAGTCTACGAGGCGTGGAAAGACGTTGCGAATACCGTGATCAAAGGATACAGCGGCGGTGTATTGGAAGCTTGGACGTTGCCTGTACTGTATACTGCTGGCAAACATCTTCGAGCCTTTGCAATCAAAGCAGACGAAAACGCTAGAGCGAGTGGGGGTGACACCAGTTTCAATGCAGGAGGCTTGCAGGAGGATATTGCAGGCGACTTTGGAAAGAACGAAAAGCTAGAAGATGCTGCACGGGTGATCAATCGGATGTTTACATTGTGCATTAGTGATAGGTATGTAGCAATAGAAGAAACCTCGATACCGCATTTACCAGAGGACACTCGCTAAGTCTGCTATATCTAGAGCACCATTAGAAGAATCAAGAAAATGGGGCCTCTACTACACCACCAATCTCCTGTTCAAAACCTACTTCAAGCTCAACTCCATCGGCCTCTCCAAAAACATCTTGCGCGCCCTGTCAGCTTCGAAAACGGACATGCCAACACTCGAAGCCTTTCCCAGGTCCCACATCGTTACCTTCAAGTACTATGTTGGCGTTATCCAGTTCCTCGAGGAAGATTACGCTCAGGCAGAAGAAAACCTCACCTCAGCCTGGCACATGTGCCATAGGTCTGCCACTCGTAATATAGAGCTCATCCTCACCTACCTGATCCCCACCCTTCTCCTGACCCGCCAACAGCTCCCCTCGTCCCGCCTTCTATCACCCTACCCGTCCCTTGGCTCTCTCTTCGCTCCCCTGACCCTGGCCATCCGCATCGGCTCGCTCTCAGCTTTCGACACCGCTCTTGCAGAAGGGGAGCATGAGTTTGTCAAACGGCGTATCTACCTCACCTTAGAGCGAGGAAGGGATATCTGTCTGAGGAACTTACTCAGGAAGGTTTATCTGGCTGGGGATCTGGACGAAGAAGGGAAGAGGAACACGAGGATCTATGTCAAAGACTTCGCCGCGGCCATCAGGTTGGGTGAGTCTGGGGCAAGCGGGGAGGGTATGGATGTGGAGATGGATGGATCGGCAGGCGAGAACAACGATGAGGTGGAATGCTTGGTTGCGAACATGATATACAAGGTAAAAATCTCCTTTCCCGCCCGCTCCTGACACTCATGTATTTTCTGACGTACGTCCACAGAATCTAATGAAAGGCTACATCTCCCGCGAGCGCGGCATCGTCGTCCTCTCCAAGAACGGAGCCTTCCCCGGCACCGGCATCTGAGCTCTTCGCACCACCACCACCGCGCACCCCCTCCTCCGCCTTCCGACTTCCACCACGATGCCGCCTCGATCAAAATCCCAAGGTCCAGCCGGTTCAAGCGATCTGACACGAGTCCTCGTTCGCTAGAACAAGGCACCAAGGCATCCCCTCCCGTTTACTGCCTGCCGCGGTCCACCGAATCACCGAAACCAGGCGACATGACTCTCGCCACGTAACCATGAGTCAATCCCCCCCCCTGCGCACCCCCATAGCGTTAGCCGAAGCGAAACATCCGAGCAGGCCAACCCTGCGCTCTGTTGGTGCGGCAGACTCCTCTCGGCGTTCTATTCGGAAATTCCGGACTAAGACGGACCGTGCAGATACGCTGCCGCTGTGAGTCACGATTGCATGAACATTTTTTTTCCGGGGGAACGGGCTGAAAAGGGGTTGGAGGCAGCAGTTGCGCCGTTCTACAGCCGTGTGGGTGGTCACGCAGCCAATATTGAAGCTTTGAATTCGGTTTTGGATGGGCTGAGTGGTAGCTTAGCTAGGTACCTACTTAGCTCTCGGTATCTGTCCGAGGAAGAGAAGTCTTGGAAAAGAAGTCCGGCCGTAACGTGGTTTCAAATCACTCTCCCACCCAAAAAATAAAGTGCCAGCCAATGAATGGTTCGGCGGCCGCGGAAGCAGAGCAGGATAATATACAGCCACGCATCCCGGTACGCCAGGCTTCTTCCTCGAAAAGGGTCTAAGTATACATGTGTAATACGCTCAGCAGATGTAACGACAGAGAGAAATGGTCAGGAAGGAATGTTCTATTCCGAAAGAGTCGAGATGGGGGGGGGGCCAGACATTCTAGATTTGATATAGCCGAGTTGCGAAGAACCGTAGTCGAACAGGCTAGCGAGCCGAGTGCGGTGTACGCGGTGACTTGGTAATGATGGCAATGTCGTCCTAGGCGGAGAGACACACGTCAGCCAAGGCTGGCCGTCACCTGTTGCGTGCTCGGTCATGCAGCGGAAGGGAACAGGAGTCACGTACGATATGATTAGCCATGGCGACGAACAAGTCGAAGAACCTGCGTCGAAGTCACGGGTCAGATACTCCGGGCTGTCGCAGGTGGTAGGCTGCGGGCATCGACTCACAGCAAGCCTCCAGCCTCCATCTCCATCTGCATGGTGCCGCTCCTCTTGAACGTGGCTCTGCTGCGGATGACCAGGGCCAGGTAGTGTGCCCGCAGCTTCGAGTCGCTCTCCGGCGTGTTGGCGTACGCGTACCTCGCGCTCGAAAGGATGGTGCTGCACTGGATGCCGGATTGGAGGCCTTGCTTGCGCAGAGCCAACCTCTTGAGTTCGTCCAAGCCGTAACGTTCGGCCGTGCAGTACACCAGGGTGTCCTTCAGCAGCATCTGCCCGCATCCCATGTGGTAGACGGTCGATTCCGAACCGCTCGCCGCCGTCTCTTCGAGCTCCCACGCATTTCGGCGCTTGTTGTGCAGCAGGCGAGGGTAGTAGTCGCCCTTGTAGAGGTATTCGAGGACGGAGGAGAAGACCTCGGGGAGTTCTTCGGGGAGGTTGACTCGTTTGGTGCTGGACTCGAGGAACTGGCCGCGGCAGATGGCGGCGAAGAAGGGGGAGGTGGAGAGGATGTCTTGGTGGGCGGCGAAGAGGCGTTGCTCCACGCCGACGCAGAGGGTGACGATTGGTGAGGTCAGAGTGCTGGAATGGAATAATGGTCAGTAGGGTAGCGGAGATGCAGGCTCGAAGTCTGGAGCTGGGTACCTTCCCTGAGGTGGGTTCTCAGGCTTCCTGGACCTCTCCATCTTCTTCGCAGCTGCGGCATGGTCTCGGAAGGACCGCTTCTGTTTGCTCGTGGAAATGGATTTGCTGGCACGATGCTTGGAGAAGCTGTCATTGTGGTGCGTCCGCCGGGCAAACATGATGAGCTTCTGCTCTGCACAAGGCTTCAGAAACGAAGCTTTGCCCGGTCGGGGGTGCTATGTATTAATGTGGGAGCATTGACGGATGGCGGAGCAAAATGAAAATGCCTCTTCATGTATGAGGCATCAGCCAGGCATCTGGGGACTCGTAGCATTTTTCGAAAGATAGAGGGGGGATGAGAACTTATACATCTGGCGCAACAGGCACCCAGTTCGACGCGATTTTTTCATTGGACCACGCGTAGAGTGGACCGGAGGACCGCGTAATCAGGTGACTGCTGGACCAAGACGGATATGGAAGCGAGCAAAGCAAATTCTAGCAAATTTTTCATCTCATGCAGGGAGCTTTGCTTGCTATCTTTCATTCAAAGCAAGGGTCCTGCTCTCCTGTTTCACTTGCTAAGCCCTTTTTGCAAGCTATCGTCTGCGGGGAAGCGGTTCCGGTAAATTGGTAAAGCTCTCGCCCCAGCATCTAGCTCTTTTTCTTGCACCTGGACCACAGCCACAGTAAAAACGGCCGACAACTCTGCCTCAGGATGATGGCAGTGGATGCCTGCTTCTCTTCCCTTCCCTTCTTTCAATAGTAGAACAATGAATGACAGACAGACAGACAGACAGACCCAACACAAACGTGGGGTAAACGCTTAACATTTCAACGCTTTGACGGACAGAAGAGCTTCAATGCTTGTGCATACTAACGCAGGGAGCTCGACATCCCTTGCACCTTGACGGGCTACTAACCTAGCTGTTAGCCAACGCTATCGTGCTAGTCAGGAACCAAGTGGTCAAGTCTGGAGGGATTTTGCCATCGAAATCGGAGCAAAGCAGGGTTCGTTACCGCTATCACGTGACAGGAAAGAAGTTAAATCCCACGATCAACGCCATGTTCTGGGGTACCAGACCGTGCGAGCGGTTCTTGTACGGGGAGCAACCCCGTATACACAACCTTGTTCAAGCTTCGAGGAGCGTATAATCGCTGCCATTCTGCGGGAAGATCCCCATATGTGTGACTTTTTTGACGGGGAACATCCCCATTTCTGTGAATATTCTCAGATATGACTGAGCTTCAGAAACGAGAAATGGCCGTTACATTAGGGTAACATCCCCGTAAATTCTGTTACTCTTGATCATAGGGAACGTGGAATCGCCATCATTTTGGCGTAAGATCCCCATACATCCGACCATATTGTGACAACATTCAACCTTGCAGCATGCCAATTCATGGGGAACAGTCCGATAAGTTCAGGTCATTTGATTGGGTATCTATGCTAGAACAGAAGGAAATCTATGTCATGTTTCCGCCATGAGTCGTCATGTTTGCCGGGGATCCCCGCACAAACCCGCCACTTCTCCCGTATCATGCCTATGTATGCTGGAAAAGAAAAGAACAGGACAGAAAAGAAAATAGATTCATGCTCGTGTCCGCCATTGCAAGTCGCTATTCGACGGGGATGTTCTCCATCAATCTATCTGCTCACGAATCTTGTTGAGCTCAAGAATCTGTGCATTTGATGGGACGATACCCTCACCACTGTTCCGGATCGGATCCTGTCCCCCAATACGCGACAGAGAAAAGCGGTACATAGCCGTCTGTTGGTCTAGAACCTCGTAGCTGATGATGCGGTATAGGCCATCGTAGCGGATGCCGCGGGCAGGACGGTATGGGTTACTGGCCGGCAGTGAGGCTGATCTGAGTACACGAAGCGATTGCTGATTCTCGTGTGCTTTGAGCATCAAGTTCGTTCCTGCCGATGGCGAGTCTTCGGTGCCTTGCGTACCGCAGTATTTGATCGAATCGCCGTTGTCCACATTGGCGTATCCACCACCACTGACGACAACCGAGTAAGCCCCCTTCCCCTTCTGTTGAGAGTGTCAGTGAGTGCTGCATGCATGTTGCGTGGGTGTCATACCTGGCCATGTATGCCCGCTTCCCTCTCTCCGTGCGCACCATCGCGCTTAGCACACAGCTGCAAAGGCCACCACTGCCCGTTGACCAGGTTTCCAGCTCCGACGTAATTGCTTGAGATCTTCCCCGCGAAATTCGGGTCAATACTGTGGGATTTGAAGCCTCTCTCTTCTTTCGCTGTCCCAGTCTTTGTCACGATGCCTCGAAACAGATGAGGGTCAATCTGTCCACCCATCCATTTTCGAAAGAGGATGTCCGCGTCCGCGCGAATGTCATGAGGAAAATAGACACCTTGAACACGATTTTCAAAGATCAGGTGCAGGCCTCCGTCGTCTAGCAGGCCCGACTTTTTGACGAGGATTGGGGAAAGAGAGGTGTAGAACTCCATCTGCTGAAGTCGCTGTCGGATTCTCCCAAGACTTTGCGTCATGTCTTTGCCGTCCGCTGCGTCTTTCTTCGCGTTGTTGACAAGCGTATACAGATACTTCAAATTCTGCATGTCTCCGCGCGAGTAGGTTTGCTTTGGATCGACGCTATCGTACCATTCCGGACCCTGGTCCGTAGTGCGCGAGTTGATCGTTTGACTGACGACACGGGTTAGTCACGTTTGATTGATGCTCTCTGAAGGAACTTACACGTTCTTAAGGACACCACCCTGTTTGACTACCTTCTTTGCTGGACCGAAGCTAGCCTTTGACTCTTCATCTGAGTCGACATTCTCACGGACAGCAGCTTTCTTGACTACCTTCTTTGCTGGACCGAAGCTAGCCTTTGACTCTTCATCTGAGTCGACATTCTCACGGACAGCAGCTTTCTTGACTACCTTCTTTGCTGGGCCAAAGCTATCCTTGGATTCTTGCTCTAGGCTGGCATGCTCACAAACACGCTTCTTCGCTGAACGTAAGCCTGCAAAGGGACCAGAAGAGAGTGTGGTTACGGCGACATGAGTATTCGTCTTAGTATTCTTGTCCTGCGTAAGGAACAGACTTTCCGGTGATTGATCTCGTTCACGTTTAATCTTTAAGCGGCTCTCTTCTTCTTCTAAGTAACACAAAGGGCGTCAGACCGAAGAAATCTAAATCAGCAACGAAGCTATACTTACCCTTATCCTTCTTAGCCCAGGCGATGCCCTGCCTAACACCTTCAATGGTGGCTTTATGAAGGACTTCGGCTAAGTCAGGTAGGTTCGGTGCTGGTGGCAGAGGACGCATGGCTGTGAGAAGTCAGACCGTTTCGTTTTCACTCACCTCAGCACCGTTGTTGAACTGGTTTGTTTACCCACGGAATACGTACTTTTGATGGCTCAACGCCCGTGTGGTCCGTCGAAGATGAGTGAGTATTGTACGTCGACAACCGTTTTCGAGGTTATTCTCCGGTCGAAGCTGCCGTTCGACGTGGTTAGCTGTTAAAGACGAGTAATAATTGTAAATGAAATGAAAAAGTGAGGGTACTAAAGGACGCTCGAGTTTAGGCGGGTATATCCGAAACGCGTTACCCCTTTAGGTAACGCGCCGAATTCGCTCACCACGTTCAAGCTCACATATCTAGAGGAGGAGAAGTACTGGGGGGAAGGTACCTTGAAAGGGTGCCAGTTCTGGTTGGGTTCATACACAGATATGTGGCGCATAAAGGGGCTGTTCCCCACGCGGCGGCACGTTACAGCGTGCCGTAACCCTAAATTCCTCTCCATTTTTCTCCGATAGCGCCCTACACTTGTTGAAAAATAATGGCAGCATCCCCTTCCAATATGCCGTTACTGAGTCTGTTTAATCTCTCAAGGCTGAAATATATCGTATTTCAATGGCTATTTCCCCGAAAATTTTAAAAAAAAACGGCAAAAACCCCCTAAAAAAACAAAATTTTTTAAAAAAATTCCCCCAATACTATCCCCCCCCCTCCCCCTTTTTTTCTATTTACGCCATCTTAATTCGATAATTTCGACGAATATCAAAATACCTACCTTTTATTAAATTTATATGATAAACTAGTATAGTATTCGGAGAAACACTGGGAGCATGCCCTCGAATGTATTATATCCTCATGCCTATTCCCCGTAGTATTCGGAGAAACAATGCAATCTTAAATATTAAATATTAACTTTTAAATTATCCCATAAGATATATCAAATTCCTCATGTCTATTTCTCCGTAGTATCTGGAGAAAGAATGGGAGTATACCCTCGAATGTATTATATCTAATGTCTATTTCCCCGCAGTATCTGGAGAAATGACGAAAGCATGCCTATAAATATATCGTGTTCCAATGCCTATTCCCTCTAGTATTCGGAGGAACAGCGGCAGCATGCCCTTGAATATCTGATATCCTCATGATAATTTCCCGTAGTCTTAATCTAATTAAGATTATTTAATTTCTTCTAAATAAATAGATTTATTAACGATAATAAAATAATTAATATAAACTTTATATAATAATTTAGAAGAAGTAAAATCGAATCGAACTTAGTAAAATCTAGGTCTAAATTATTAAAATACTATAACGATGGAGAATACTATAAGAGGGCAATAATACTAAGCTTATTAAGTCTAAGCTGTAATAGAAATATATGTATTTAGAAGGTAGAAATATATCTAATTAGTGGGAATCCATTAGTAGCCTAGTAACCTCGGGGTACTTCGGTGATAACGACGACATCCGTGGTGGTAGCTATCTATGTCGGATTTATCGGATTTAAGATGGCGCAAATGGGGGTATGGCGCGAATGGGGGTAGATACGATTAGTATTCGAAGAAACGGCGGGGGCATGCCCTTAAATATCTAATATCCTTATACCTATTCCCCCTAGTATTCGGAGAAACGACGGCAGCATGCCCTCACATATATCATACCCTCATACCTATTCCCCCTAGTATCTAGAAAAAACACCGTAGACAAACCCATGCAAATTGGCAACACAAAGGCATCAATCCACATGAGTATGTAAAAATGATCAGATAGAAGAGCTACATCCCACCCATCCCACCTTACAAGAAAACCTCCCCCACCGTACCCTCCCACGAAAACCCCAATACCATCTCTTCAATCAGAGAAAAAATCGTGAATCCACAAACCAATCTCGCTCTCCCCTCCGCTCGCGGGTGCGTTTGAGAGATGGGAGATTTATATCCGGCACCATTGCTACGGACGGCGTCGATTGCTGGATCGAAGGGTCGGAGACGTAGCGCGGGGTTGTTGGACGGGGTTGCGTGGCGGCTCTTTGTCTACGGGTTGTGAAGGTGTTGGTGTTTGGGTAGGGTGCTGCTGCTGTGGGATGTTTGTTGGGTTTTGGTTTGCAAGAAACCTGTTTATTGCACGTCCTGCTTAAGTTTTATGACTCACGGTCTACATGTGCGCCTTGTTTGATTTTTCAGGGTACGTGCCTGCAGGAGTATGTGCAGCTATCGCTAATGCTGTGCTGCGAGCAGCGATGGCTCTTCGTTGCCGCCTCGCTTACTAGGCCTCTCGCTGGTCCTTAAGGGACTGTACGCCTGCTCGCCCACAACGGATCCCCCTTGGTACACCATCGTAGCCCTTTCATGTAGTGGTTTCTGGACGTCGCGAGGCCGCCTTTCTGGAAGTGGAATCGCTCTTGACGCAGCGGCCGCGTTGAATTGGGTCTCGCAAAGATATCAACCAGACTCAAAATTGGTATTATGGGGCCAAAGTCTCGGCGCCAAGGTTGCTGCTAATGCGGTAGCTGCACAATTACAGAACAGACCAAGCCGCAAGTCCGAATCTGCAGTGACTTTGAAAGCAGAGACGGAGGGCTTGAAGGTCATCAGTCTTGTGCTGGAGACCCCTTTCACATCCATCCGCTGTATGCTTACTGCTATTTTACCCGAAGAGATGGCTGCCACACCGCTATCTTCATCCTTTTTTGTGGAACCATTGGGACAGCAGACAAGCTTTGCTTCGCATAGCGAAGTCCAACGCGAAGCCCACAGTGCTCGTTTTGTCAGCCGGCCATGACGAATTAATGCCAGAGCCGCACGGTGCCGAGCTGGAAGAGGTGTACAAGGATGGCGAAATGGACGTGCAGCGCGTGGTAGTAGAGGGGCCTTGCACCACGAGATTATGAGCAAGACGAAGGGCCGGCAGGCTGTGGTAGGCTTTCTGAAAAGCATAGCTGAGAAATGTTTGATCCCAAGGCTCATCTGCTCACGAGAGTATCGGCCATGCATCAATCACGGCCTTTTGCTATCCCTGCCCAACGCAACAACATTCCTGAGCGTCCCAAATGAAAGCACGTCAGCAATCCTGTTAGTTCCAGAGAAGAGCATACACAGCCTGTCGATACCGCAACCCCAGCCTCCGGTAGGAGGCAGCCCCCACTCAAGCGCCTGCAGGTAATTCTCGTCGATTCCAGCCTTGGGGTCTTCCTCATGGTACTGCAATTGGTTCTCAAGCTTGCGCCGCTGCTCGATGGGCGAATTCTCTTCCTCATAGCAGTTGACCAGCTCGGTGTTCCTAACAAAGAGCTCTGCTCGAGCTGAAACGCGCTGTTGGTTATCTGGGTGCATGAAGGACTTTGAGAGTGGAGAGAGGCATTCCGGGTGGTTGATGATCCATGTTGGGCCGAAGCACTGCGGCTCGAGATATTTTGCGGACAGTCTGTCCAGAAGGCGTGGTAAGGTTGGGAGAGACGGAAGAGGAATGTCGCACTCGTTGAACAGCAGGAGTAGTTGAGCCTGGGCGTCCGGCCATGTTAGTTCTGGCAGTTGCTTGCCGGTTGCTGCCTCGATGGCTGGAATAAAGTCCAGGCGTGCCAATGGTGGACTGAAATCAATTTTGGGTGGGGTCAGCGCTCGGCAGTTGGAGTGAACGACAGAAGTGACGACTCTGGATAGCCCAAGAAACATACGCTCAGTCGTGTTGATTAGTTCTTCTATATCTGCGTAGCTCCTGTAGAATTCGCAGGTGGTGAATTCGGGGTTGTGGCTGAGATCGATACCTGGGGAATTATCAGTATTATCCAGATTCATCGAGCAAAAGTGTTTACCTTCATTGCGAAACGATGGACCAATTTCAAATACCCTCTCAAACCCTCCCACGATCAATCTTTTCAGCCACAACTCAGGTGCTATACGAAGTGCAATTTGACGATCCTGAAACTCAGTCGCAGACGTGTGAAATGGTCTCGCAACAGCACCTCCGGCTGCGTCAGCCAATATCGGAGTCTGTACTTCGGTGTGCCCTTCATCTAACAACCATTGACGAAGAAACTTCGTAATCTCTGATCGAAGCTGAACGATATCTGCTAATTGCGGGTTCAGAAGCAAGTCCACATGCCGGTTACGCATCTTTGTTTCCTTGTCCAACAAGAATGCAGGAAGAGATTGTGTGCAAGGCGAGAGGAGCTGGGGTATGTCTGTCGCTAGTACAGACAAGTCATTTCTTGGAGTCCTATGCGGGATCCCCTTGACACCTTATAGATATTAGACATTGCTTAGTCAAAACGTCGGTGCCAGCTCACTATAGATGTCCCCTCGGTGAAGCTGGTTCAGGAAATCCTTGAAGTCTGCCGCTTTGATAATAGAGTGGGCTATATGGGTGTAGTCAAGCACGCATTGTAATCGATGGCTGTTCAATTGGAGAGACCGATTGTTTTGGAACAAGTCAAGGAATGCCAGCTTTGAGCCTGTAACCCGAAACGACCATATTCTTCCTTGAGAGCATGAGCCAAATCCACTTGAAAATTGGATGCAGTCATACCACGCACGACCACTTCATCGTCAGGCTTCGACTCTCCTGGACCCAGATCCTTGTACCGCTCTTTGAACGTATGGTAGTCTAGGACGGTGTCCTGCTTTTTTATGCGCGGATACTGTTCTTCGTGCTGCCATTTAACCCTGTCACCACCGCTCGACGTTCGTATTCGTGGAGCCAGTTGAGCCTGTTCGGTGCTGTAGAAGCGGAGGTGGGCTGCGCGGGCTGTTGGACGAGCGTAAGGGCGGAGAGCAGGACCAAGGCATCTCAGCGAAGTTCTCATGCTACTGCTCATCAGCCAGTGAAAACGCCATCTCATGAATCTGCAAGACCGATGCTTCCATTCGTATCAGACAACTAGGACTTTTTGACCATCCACTCGAAGAATGAGTGTCATTCGCAACGGTTCTTGTTATATATTCTTCTTCCTTTGACGGACCTTGAAATGAACGAGACTGTTAGAAAGCAAACTTACCCTAGTTCAAGCTCCGATCCTGGTTTATCGACT